ATGTTTAAAAAATATATATAAATGAATATAATTTGTAAAAATATAAAATACCATTACCTACTAAAAATACATATTTATATAATTAAAAATATTAAACCAAAACACATTATTAAATTATATATGTATAAATTCATCGTCTTAATATAAAGATCTAGAATAATATTAAAAATTGATTCCAAATTTCATATTATTATTCTCGATTTATAAATTAAATTACCTATTATATTAAAAAAAAATATATATATATAAAATAATTTATAGAAAATTATATATATAAAAGTCTATATATATAATTAAATTATCCCCGTTAGAGGTTCTAAATAGGATTGGACCTCCCCCATTTTATTAGATAAAATGAAATAATCCAAAATTGATAGTAAATATAATTGAAAAAAACACGATTTATTTTGTTCTCATTTTGGGGATTAATTTGAACAATCCGAATTAAACATGTTCTTTTTCCTATGAATAAAAAATCGAGAGGAATCTAATTCATATTTATTTTGTACTTCCGTTTTTTTTACAAAATAAAATCGAATAAGGTTCAATTCGAAAAATATAAATTCAAGAATTATATTCTAGGCATCCCGAACACCAAGCCAATAAGAAATTCAATAAAAATTATATAATAATTATAAATTAATTAAATTAATTGTTATTTTTTGTTTTAATTAGTCGAAAAAAAAAATTAGAAAGAATATAAGGGGTATATTAAAAATTATAAATTTATTTTTCATAATCATTATTATTATATTTCGTAATTATTATAAAAAAAGAAAATAATATATAATATATTATTATTAACCGTTTTAAATATTAATATGTAAACCAAAATACATTAAATCAAGATTTTCGATTAAACCAAAATTTTAAACTAAACTATATACAATTTGTATAATTACAACAAACACATTTTGCACATCCATTTCTTCATAAAATTCAATTAAAACAATTCAATTCGGAAAATTATTTTAAATTCAAATTTCATAAGATTTGAAATTAAAATTTAATTCAAAATTAAAAAATTCCAATTTCATATTATATATAATTCAAAAAAATGTTATATCCAAAATATAATTATATCAATTCCAAGCCATACATAAATAAAAAATAAAATATTTCTTAAACAAATTTTAAATACATCATATTAATTTAAAATAAATTCAATCCAATTTACAAAAACCAAACTATTTTCCAAATGCTAATTCAATTATAAACCCAATATTATTCCATCCAAATCAACATATCATTATTTCTTAAATTCTAATATCATTTACCAATTACATTCTTAATTCTATTTTTTTCGATAATCCATCATATAAATCTTCCTTCAATATAAACCCCCATAACCAAATCACAAACGAACACATTGTCCACAACAAATTCCCATAATGTCTTACTCGCCCTCGTTACACACAAATATATATATATATATATGCATTTCGGGACATGCCAAATCAATCAACATTCTCCCTTTTGAACCTTCTGCATGCCATTTTGCTGCAGGTATGTGAGACCTAGGAGTTCATGCTGAAGATAGCTGCTATGTCTAGTCTTAAAGCATACAGACCTGCACTCAATGTCTGGAAATCCTGCGGGGCATCCATACATGAGATCAGTCCAATAGCAAAGAGTAACAGCCATTTCGCTGTCACTTCATCGCTTTCATCGCTTTCATCGCTTTCTTTGCTTTCATTGCTTTCATCGCTTTCATTGCTTTCGTCCGAGGCTTTACATACAACGCCTGCGCCGCCTCATACAGCTCCTTTCCAACCTCAGAGCTGTAGGATCCTCTTGCTCGGATGATGCAAAAGTGGAATGGCTCAACAGTTCCCTTTAAAAATGCCGATCCATTGCGACTAATAAATATGTGTCATGCCGAAAATAACAAGTCCTCCCCCCTCGCGGTTTTTGACCCGGCAAAGGGGGGCATTCTTGGACGAAGACCGTTATAGAAACCTCCTACGTCCCTGTTACTAGATCAATTGTTGCAAACATAACATCTACTAATCATAGAATCCGCGTGCCTGTGCCTCTAAGAATGCATGCATCTGTGCGTCATGTTTAAGTCTAGATTCACCGGCGCATGCAAGAGCAACGAAAAAGCTAAACTATGCGTGAATTACGGAATCCAGGCGGCGAACACGGTCTCAGAGCAAGTAAGGAGCTCGTCCGGAGACAGGACCATTGGGGCCGCGCGCGGACCCTCTACGATTTTTAGGGAGGTCGACCTTAAACAATCATTGTTTTGAGTTTTGCCTTTGGTGAAATAGAAAGAAAGATAAAAAGAAAGAGAAAGAGAAAGAGAAACAGAGAGAGAGAGAGAGAGATAGACAGAGACGGAGAAGGGGAAAGAGAAAGAAGGAGAAAGCATGACAGAAAGGGAAAGGGAAAAGAAACGAAAGAGACAGAAGGAGAAAGCGAAGGAGAAGGAGAAATAGCTACAAAATCCACACTACTTCCATTGGAATGAAGCTGCCAGTGAAGGCTACAAGTTTAACGCAATCTGACACTCGAAGAATTTCGCCAGGCTCTGCTCTCTCACAACGATGTTTCGATTGAGGTTCGCACCACTGAAAGAAGAAAAAGCGCTGGGTGGACTCGAGATTTCACGTGCAGCTGCTTCTGCGCACTAGCCACAGCAGCAATCCATGGCGCACTCTCCTTCTTGGAAAACCTCAAAATGCACAGCATGGCATGTATCCCTCTAGAGCAAATGAAAACACAACTTCTTGACACGCACTGAGGATTTTCTTAGGGAGCGAGCTTCTTCAGCTTCCAATTCTTGCTCCCAGCTTTTTTGTACTGTTCCTCCAGGGCAGGGGGCGATTCGTCCGACAGTGTCAAAGAGTGATTGTTCGACTTGTTGATCTGAATGGAGTGAGGGTAGGTCCAACCATCAAAAATGGTCAGCCCCACTAAACCCTCTCTTTTTCTGTACCCAGGGGCTCCACGATTGTTGTTCATAGTTTCATTAGTGTCAGTATCATTCCATGATATCTATTTTGGTGAATTCTAATGGGCGCTTTGGATTTCTGAACATCCTCGCTGCCTGCACAGCTTCGTAAAGATGCTTCCCTGCTGCCCCCAGCATGAAGAGGGCAGGGTGATCTCGCTTTCTGACCTTCAACTCCTTTCGGACACTGGAGACCGCCTTGGTGACCCAAATGCTGACAAAATCAAGCGGAGCAAAAGGAGAAGAGTCCTCATAAATGATGATGAGTGATTCTGAATGCTATGGCTCTGGCTATGGCTGAAACACATCAACCACGGATGGTCATGCTCAATGGAAATCTGATCCACCATTTTGGGGGTTGCCATCGCTTCCTGTTTCGACGAGCCTCACTAAGCATGAAAGCCAACACGACATGCTCTTCTCTGCATACGGGTCTGTCTTCTTTCGGGGGGGGGGGGGGAAAAATAGTTTTCCTCGTGTTTACCTTCAACACCAATCCCTCAAAAAAGACACCCGCATACGTAATCATACTGTAAGTCAAACTCCAGACATAGCTGCCACCAAACTGTAGGCTCTTTCAACTCCATCCTCCATCGATTGCATCACGTGGGCCATGAAAAGCTTACAATAGAAGCAGCGTGCCGAACTCACGATGACCCGAGCCGCCAAGCCGCAGCTTTCCAGGGAGACTTCTCCTTTGCGGTGAAGGGCTTCAGCTCCCATTTGGCTTTCATTGCTTTCGTTGCTTTCATCGCCTTCGCCATTTTTCCCTGTGGTACAGGGTCCCACCGGATGCTTTGAAGCACAACGGCTAAAGCACAAATACAGAACCCAATGTCAGGTCTCCGGCTTGTGCACAAGAGTTCCAGTGTCCACATCGACATGTTCTTGAGGAGATGAGGCTTGAATGGATTCTCCAAACATGCCGCTTGTTAGGTCGCATCATGCTCGTCACAGCGCAGCCAAATAATTGCATGGCAAACTTAGGAGCCTTGCAACACTTTCCAAGCTGATTGACAAAGCTGGGATCCGGGCTTCGTGCTTGCGTCGCGCTCACGAGGTAGGTTGCCAGGTTGGCAAATAAAAACACACTGGAGATCAAGTTGGTCGCCTCACTTCACTGATGCTGCAGAAAACATTGGTCTGCCATCTCTGCGTCATTTTCACTGCTTAATTAGCCCTTTGCCCTTGCTCGGCGCTGGGGACCAGCCTGCATCAGCTTGCCAATCTGCTGAGGCCAAAGGCTATTGAAACTACCGTTGTTCAGGGCGGCTCTTCTGGCTTTTCCATTTGGGATCTCATCTTGGCGAATGGGTGTTGCTGTCTTCCTCTTCTCTTAGGAACCTGACTTCTTTTCTGCTTCCGTCTTGGAGGTGTTGCTGTGTCTTTCATCCCTGGACCTTTGCCTCCTCCATCATCAAAATCCCAATTTATGTATCTCATTCCTTTTCCGGCTGCTTGTTGCGAATATATGTGTCGTTACTCTGTCCCGATGTACCTCGAGCCTATTACTATATATATATATATGTCTATATGTATTGCTAGTATCATGTGTGTTTAACAATAAGGCTAAATATTCATGTTTGTATCAACCTTGTGCAGACTTGTTGAAACATACCTTAGGTATGTTTATATTCACTTCATATCTGAACTCAGATCTTATACAAACACTAGCTTCACCAATATTAGGTTAATCTATTTTGTAGCTTTAGTTTATCAATGCTCACCACTAAATTTACACTAAGTTTAACAAGCATCCAATCAACATCAATTATCAGCATCAATATCAAATAACATTAATCACACCTTACCAATTAGATTGGATATAACCCATACCGGAATTCAGATTAACTCCGAGAAACAACACACAAGTCAAATTTATTTTGTCAACACATACGTTGTCAAATTGATTCGAGATGTCATGAACACAGAGTACAATTCTCATTAATTTATCAATTAGTCGATAACTATTGTACACAATAAATAAAACATATGTGAATATTGAAACAATGTCAAGGTTTTGTTTGAGACTTGTATTTGAGCGGGGCGAACTTAGGAATGTAACCATTTGAAAGAAGGCGGACCGGAAGCTTCAAACAAGCATGTGACAAAACAGTCCAGCCCAAACAGGGTAAAGGATGGACCGACCCAAAGGAAGGTGATATGGTAGAATTTCTTGGGTTTGCCGGCATAAACTCAGATCCTGGGGAAAAACTCACATGAAACACAGCAAGACGAGGAAGCGGCTCAACGCCAAGAAGCCCCGATGTGTTTTTGCGATAGCGCCAAAAGATTTCTAGTCTGAGTGGTTCATGGTGGCAGTGCTTCTGCTTTTGGACGCGCTGGACTGCGTTGTGCATCATCTTTCCCACTGCAGAGGACAGGTCAGTCTTGTAGTAATAAACCATCTTCAACCACTCGTGCACCTTTTTGCTAAGCCAGGTTTGCCTTTCGTGCTGGCTGCTCTGCAGCAAGAAACTCGGCAAGCCTCAGCAAACAAGACCAGACGCAGGAGCATGGTGACTTGCATCATGGAAGGCAAGCGAGGTTTCATCTTGCATGATTTTCACACAAACTTTCAGGACAAGGTGCATCTTGCGTCTCCGCTGGCGTGCAGTTGACCTGACCTGAGCGCTATTTTGTTGTCCGCGTGAGGCTCGCTCCGTTCAGCCAAGAGGCAATGGGTGGAGCGCCCAGGAGACCTCACAGCCGGAAGTTCCGGGTCTTGTGACTTCCCATAACTTACCCGACCGCTGCCTGCCAAGAAAGGCATGGACTCCTCGTCTTCATCTCCCACCCTGCCAGAGCCTTGGTGTTTCAGTTTGGGACGTCGGTTTCAAGTCCCAAAGCGAATGGAGGAATCCAATCTAAGGCTGCAGCCTCCTTCCTCCCTGTTGTCGTAGGATTCTTGCTTGTTTTTTCCAGGTTTGTTCCCCTGTCTCTTCTTTGGATGCGGTATCCCATGCACTGGTGGCTTCTCCTCGCCCTTGCCCATACCTTTGCCGGCCTTAGGGCGATGGTGTCAACTGATCTTCCTCAGCTCTACCTGCAGCTGTGGCACAGGGGCGTTCAGCGGCACAGGGGCATTCAGCGGCCCGTTTTGGAGGCCATTGTCAGCCTGAGCCCAAACTGACCAAAGGGATAGGGTGATTTGCAGTTGACAGGGGATGTTTCCCTTCCAGCAAGTGTCGTGCGGTGTATTGTCGATGTTTCCACTCTTTGCGAACATCTGATTCGAGTCACCCATTGTGTACTCGTGGGTCTTGCTCGTTCATCGCGTGCCTCCCTGCCATGGTAATATGGGTGTGTCTTAAACTGGGCGACCCCCCAAATCATGAGCCGCCCTGGTTTCCCTTGAGCCCAACATGAGCCTAACCCAACGCAAGTACACCTCTCACTGGCTATGTGTGACAGGTGGCTGGTGCTTCTGCCATCGGTGGTGCCGGCAAGGCGCGTGGAGCCTGAGACGGGCGTGAAGCAACTTTCCTTTTGTGTTTGGGTTGGCCTAGGATATACAGCTTCAGGAAAGTTCTGGCCAGGTTGGCTTATGCAAGACATGTTTGCTACCGTACTTAGGGAGGCGGAAAGTGGGGCCAAATGGATCCACTGGGTAACATTACCCCTGCAAAACTAACACTCACTTCAAGACAGCCCAAAAGGTGATGTTGATTGAACACACCTAGAAAGGACACATGCAGAACTCTGGATAGTCGGACGCCTTCAAATCGCAGTTCCCCGCAAAACGGTGTAAATCTGAAAATTTGCTGCTAGGCAGTAAGGTTGAGGAAAAGGATGATTGAACCAATAAATTGCGCCATCCACTTTTGCAACGACACTAATCCAGCTGCTAACTTACGGCCAAGCAGTGCCATAGCTACAACAACACTGCCGCGGAAACAACAACGACAGCAACAATGCACGTTCGACACACGACGCACACACCCACACATTCGCATACATACATACATACAATATATTACATTACATTACATTACATTAACACATATTACATTACAATACATTACATACATACATACATTACATACATACATACATACATACATTCATACATACATACATACACTCCATACATACATACATACATACATACATACATACATACATTACATACATACATACATACATTACATTACATTACATTACATTACATACATACATACATTACATTACATTACATTACATACATACATACATACATTACATACATACATACATACATTACATACATACATACATTACATACATTACATACATACATACATTACATTACATTACATTACATACATTACATTACATTACATTACATTACATTACATTACATTACATTACATTACATTACATTACATTACATTACATTACATACATACATACATACACATACATACATACATACATACATACATACATACATACATACATACATACATACATACATACATTACATACATACATACATACATACATACATACATACATACATACATACATACATACATACATACATACATACATACATACATACATACATACATACATACATGCATACATACATACATACATACATACATACATACATACATACATACATACATACATACATACATACATACATACATACATACATACATACATACATACATACATACATACATACATACATACATACATACATACATACATACATACATACATACATACATACATACATACATACATACATACATACATACATACATACATACATACACACACATTGTACATACATACATACATACATTACATACATACATACATACATACATACATACATACATACATACATACATACATTACATACATACATACATACATACATACATACATACATTACATACATTACATACATTACATACATACATACATACATACATTACATACATACATACATTACATTACATTACATTACATACATACATACATTACATACATTACATACATACATACATACATACATACATACATTACATTACATTACATTACATACATTGATTACATACATACATACATACATACATACATACATACATACATACATACATACATACATACATACATTACATACATTACATACATTACATACATTACATACATTACATACATTACATTACATTACATTACATTACATTGCATTACATTACATTACATTACATTACATTACATTACATTACATTACATTCATACATACATATATACATCCCACAAACATTTTTGTCGAGAGCCTCAACGGCGTGTCTGTGCTTGCTGGCGAGTCACTGGCCTCCGCGATCCAGGCGGGCGGCTCAGCCTCTCTTCGTTTGCGCGCGCTCGCTCAGCGACTGCATCCTGCGGCTCGGGCTGCAGGACGAAGAGCGCCAGAGCGCACACAAACAAACAAACTCACAAACGCAGGCACACAAACAAATACATAGAGTAATACAGTACACGACATGGAAACACGCAAACACACCCACACAAACAAATTCACACAAACACATGAATACATACAGTTTTTACACGACATGGAAACACACAGGCACACAAACACTGACATGCACGCACACACACACACCCAACCACAAACACACTCACAAACATGTCGACATACTGTCAAAAGCACATACTCAAACCCACACACACACAAACAGAAAAGCAACCACCATCACACAGAGCAAGCGACACGACACAACCAAGCAACCAAGCAACCAGGCAACCAGGCAACCAAGCAAGCAAGCAAGCAACCATAAAACCAACCAACCAACCAACCAAACAAACAACAAACAGGCAGGCAGGCAAGCAGGCAAACAAACAAACAAAAAACACACACACAAAAAAACAACAACAACACAAAAGCAACTTAAGAAAGACATACATAAAGAAGGACCACAATAAGCAAACACACTACCATCATTACATGTGTACAACACAACACAGCAACACTCAAACAACCATGTGCGCTCACCAAGCAACACGCTCATAAACGCACAAACACAGATACACTCTTTTGTGAGGCTCTCCACAGGCAGTGTCCTCCACATTTTTCCTCAGCTGTGCCCAATCCGGCAAGCAACTTGGCGAGCTTTTTTCACAAGCTCCCTGCTGCTAACTCCACGCACCTTTGTAGTTGGAAACTGGAGACTGGTGAGCATTTGGCCATGGGAATGAGCATTGCGTCTTGCCTCTGATTGCGTGCACTTTTCATACGCGTTCTTGCCAAAACTCGGCACACACACACAACATGATTATCTTCCCTCTTTCCGGCATTCTCAAAACATGTGGATCGATTCTAGCCGATAGCCCATCCTCTAAAGGACTGTGAGGGATCTTGCAGGGCCTCATCCCAATTCATTGAACTTGAGACACGCCAGCTTGTCTCGAGTTCATGGTTTGGGGATGCAAGCTTCCGAGAAGTTCTCAAGTACTACATAGACCTACATAATTAGCCAGTTGAACCCCGCAATGTGTTGGCACATGCCCAAAGAACTTTCGCGCAGTAAACTTCCGTTTTGTGATGGCTTCTCTTGTTCATGTGTTTGGGCATGTTTTCTTGCATGTCTAATTGGATGAAACTGGTCGTGGGCAGGCTATGGACAGTTCCTTCTGGGAAGGGTGTTTTGGTTTTCGATCTTGTGTAGTTCCAGCAGCATTCCGGCTGGATAGACCATGTTTTAGCTTTTACGGGTGTTTGCGGTGGGTTGTCCAGTGTTCCGTTTAGGGATTGGGTGCAATGGATCCCATGCTATCGAATCATGCGCGCGATGCGGCCAAATTTCGCACTTGGATCATTGGGATCATCAGGGTCAGGGCCCACGCTGGCGGGATCCACCTCAGTCCGGATTGAACCATGTCTCATCGGATGGACAGGCCGCCGACCAAATGGCTTCACAAAGCCCTGTGGCGTCCCCTTAAAACTATCCTCAACAAGGGGACGGGCAGTTCTGCCGAGTGTCTAGCTGACCCGTCTGAACCCATCGCTCCGCTTCATCGAAGGTCAGCCCCTTTCCAGTCCTCAGACATGAGCCATAGCCAAAATTATTGCTTCCCCAAGAAACATGATATAGACGTTTTTTCCGAGCCCCAATGATTTTTGTGGAGACGTTTAGTGAATCCCGCGTGTCCTTCGAGTAAACTTGACTCGCATGGAGAGGCTCCAACATGACCCGTAATCCTGGTTGCATCCCCAGCCCCTGGGAAACACGTGGCCCCTCTCCGAACACACGTGTTTTGCGGGGGAATTGCGTGGGGATTCTGCGTTTCCATGCATGTTGGGTTATTACCTGGATGCTCACCCGCAACACTCTCTCACACCCACGTATGAAGGGAAATGGAGCCCGGTACCCATCTTTCCATGTATTCAATAAGGCAGAGGGTTGGACCTACTTGGCAATCACACTGTTTTTGGTCTGTCATGCGCAAGTCGGATGTTTGACTTTCTGCATTTCGGGAAAATGGGATGCTTCATGGAGCGGCCTGCACACTCAAACGCAAACACGCACACACAACACACACGTAACGAAAACATACACAACTACGCACAAAAACAGAAACACAACCACGCACACAAACAAACACACACAGACAGTCACACAAACACTCTGTTACCAACACACAAAACCGCCCACACGCACACGCACAAACGCACACGCACACGCACACAAGCAAGCAAGCAAGCAAGCGAGCAAGCGAGCGAGCAAGCAAGCCAGACAAGCCAGCCAAGCCAGCCAAGCCAGCCAAGCCAGCCAAGCCAGCCAAGCAAGCCAAGCAAGCCAAGCAAGCCAAGCAAGGCAAGGCAAGGCAAGGCAAGGCAAGGCAAGGCAAGCAAGCAAGCAAGCAAGCAAAAGACAAACACACACACACACATAAACACACAAACACACAAACACACAAACACACAAAAACACAAAAACACAACACACACACACACACCCACACACACACACTCACACATACACACACACCCACACACCCACCCACCCACCCACGCACGCACGCACGCACGCACGCATGCACGCAAACAGACAAACAGACAAACAGACAAACAGACAAACAGACAAACAGACAAACAGACAAACAGACAAACAGGCAAACAGACAAACAGACAGACAAACAAACAAGCAAGCAAGCAAGCAAAAAAAACCAAAAACAAGCACACAAACAAACAACCACAATCATACAAACAAACAATCAAACAAACAAACAAACGAACAAACAAACAAACACAATCACGCAAACAAACAACAACCAAACAATCAAACAATCATTCACACGTGTCTGGTGCCCGTGCACAGCGCTAGCAGTGCAGCGGGCGAGTTCTTCGAGCGCGATCAGGGTCATTGCCTGAAAGGCCGTGACAGATCGTTGGCCGATCTGATGGGCCTGCCTGTGCAGAACGTTCGAAGGGCCTGGCGCGCCTGGTGTTTAACCAGGGTGGAAAGCTTGAGGGTTAAACCGCTTTGCGGGGGAGCAACCCCAAGAGAGGCCAGGTTAATGCCCCGAACTTCCTGGATGTCCAAACCAAAATGAACAGCAACCAACCGGAAAAAGGAACGAGTCATGCGAATGTCCGAAGCGAGGGTCGTTTGGACGCCCAAGAGGGGACTGGGGTTCCTCCAGATCTCGCCGCTGGTGTGCGAGGTGGGAACCGGCATGCTAAGAGACGCAAGTCTCATCATCACGGCAACCTCAAGCCATGAGATGTGCGAAGCCAGGGTCGCCTGTTCAGCTTCCTGTAGCAGCCAAGTGATGGCTTGCCTGGGGAAGCCCGAATCAAACTTGAATTCAATGCGCGAACCGGGTAGTGATTGGGCCCAGTCCGGGCTCAAAACTTCAGGCCAACTCACGAGAGCATCTCCTGAATCGGGTTCAGGATCAGCATCGGCAGGTAGGTCGTATTCCTCGAAGCCATCGGCAGCTGTGGGCTGGTTCTCAGCGTTGGTAGCTGCGACTGCAAGGTGCAGCTCTTGAAGGCATGCTAGGCGATGCAGCTGATCTCGCTCGGTTTGGCTGTACGCCGACCAGAGGGTGTGGAACTCTTCAGAGTGCCGGCGATTTGCCTCCTTGGCTGCATAGTCAGCAACGTTGTTCCAGTGCGCCAGCCAAGCATCAACAGGGTCATCCATCTCGGCGGGAATGCTGTGGCCAGCTGTATGATGCACCAGGAGCTGGCCTTCGCCAAGTGTGGCCAGGGTGGCCGAGAGCTGCTGCCAAAGGTCCGCGTTGGTTCGGCTTGGGGTGTCATCCGGGGCTTGTTGAAGCTGCCAAATCCCGGTTGCGGTGTATGCAGAATCCGTCCATAAATGTGTTCGGCACCTGCATCGTTTAGTCCACTGCGCAGTGATGAGGGCTGCGTAGAGCTCCGCTCGGTTGCTGGGCTGTACTTCGCCAGGTAGCGGTCCAGATGCAATTCGTGACTGCCGGGATGCCGATATGACTGACCAAGCTGCTAGGGACAGTGGGCTGTACGTTGGAGATGTGCGTGTGCCGTCCGAGAAGACATGGGTGTCCTGCGCTCGGTCACCAAAAATCTCGAAGGAAACAGGCCTCTCGTGGAGGGAGTGCAGGTAGCGACGTAGCTGACCATGGTGAGGATTGCGAGGTGGAAGTAGTCGTTCGCGAAGTGAGATCGGAGTTCCTTCCCATAGTGCAAGTGCTTCGGGATGTGCTGCTCGACTTGTGGAGAAGCCCGGGCAGTGTAGGCATCTGTGGTCTACAGTGTCCGGCTGCAGGCATCTGGCGCAAGTGGCAGAGATGAAGCAATCATACTTGGTCTTGTGGGTGTTAAGGTAGAAGGCACCCTCGCGAAGTGCGCAAATCTGGGCAGACTGCAATGCTGTGTGGTGGGCGCCAAGGTGCCGACATGCATGCCAGTTGACTCCTTGTAGTCCTTGGAGGTCGGTTCTGGTGGAGGCGTCCAAGGCCACACGTTGGCGCCATGCGTCTTCAAGGATGCTTCGAAGGTAGTGGTGGTCAATGGTGAGGATGTTGTGTTGAAGGCCATCGTGATCGGTGAGGTGGGGTGGAGCTTCGATCTTCCAGGATACGGCGTTGAGTTGGCGAATCAACACCGAAAAGGGGCCGGCGTAGAAGTGGCCATCAAAAGAGGCCTGGAACTGATGCCACATGTCCAGAAGTGCGGCCTGCTTCAGAAGCATCCTGCGAAAGGTCCTCACAACATGCCAGAGCTGGTAAAAGCCAGGATCGGCGAGGGTGTTGCCTTGCAAAAGGCTGAGTCGAATGGCAGGGCTGGCGCCTGCATTGCCATGCCCAAGTGCGCGAACCGCTGCAGTGCGTAGTTGCTTGATGAGCTGGAGGGAGAAGTCCTCAATGGGGGCGCTGTGGAATATCTTGGGCCACATGGATTGTACCAATACATGGGTTTTGCACAAGCCGGGAGCACGAAGCCGTCGGAGCAAGGACCAGGTTGGTTGCAGGTTTTGTACCAAGGTGGAGTGATGAGCAACTCGCCTGCGCGGGCCATACGTCATGTGTCCGCCGAGATCTTTGTCCTTCAGGCTGATGCGGTGCTTGAGGAGGCCGAGTTGTTGGCGATCACGCGGATGGACTGCCCAGAGGTAGGTCTTGTCAAGGTCGATGCTGAGCTGAAACATGTCTAGGAAGGTCTCCTGAGCAGCCATGGCTTGTAGAAGGGCTCCCGGGGTATGAGCCAAGATCTCCAGATTGTCCACAAAGGAGATGGAGGTGGCCCGCGGGGCAAAGTGCGCTTGGTACAAATGATAGCACCAGTCGGTGAGGGCCATGGCCAGACAGCTCAATGGGCAGCCTTCTGGGTATCCGCAGTTGGAGAAGAGAGGAGAGCCCACCGTGTCCCGGATCTTGAAGCGTCGCGAAAAGCCGAGCAGGAAGCGATGCCATGCCTCGACAAAATCCGCATCGAATCCAACATGTTTGGCAATCTGCTTGATCGGACCCCGCGGCAGGTGGTTGAATGCTTTCTCAACGTCAGCAACGCAGCCAACCAATGGCTGCGATTGTTGTGCTCGCAGTTCAATGAGGCCCTGCAAGGGGAGCCAGATCTCCTGAGCTTCTCTAGTGGGCAAGAAGCCAAACGCCGGGCAGTCCATGAGCTGCTCGAGCTGTTGAAGTCCCTGTTATGCTCAAGATGATGATGGGTCGGTACTGTGAGACCTCCTCGGCATCAACGCACTTGGCAAGGCCGTGGGCATGGCCATTGAGAAGCTGCTGAGGCCATTGTTCACCATGTTCAATGCGGTGAAGTAGATCGAGGTGCGCTTGCTTGAGTTGGGGTGGCATGTTGATGAGGTCGAGGCGTCCGTAGCCATCTGGTCCTCGGGCGGCGTGAGCTTTGAACTTGTTGAGGGTGTTATCCCATTGGGGAAGTTGAAGGCGTGGTAGGTTGATGGCGCCCTTGGGGACGTAGGCTTTGACGAAGCCAAAGATGCGCTTCCAGGCTTCTTGAGGTAGGTCAGCATGCTTGGACCATCGCTTCTGCCAAAACTGCTCCAACGTGGAGTGGATCTGAGATTCGGAGGACAGGTGATGGTGCTGGTGTAGCTGTTGTCCCTTGACAAGCAGGAGGTCCGACTCGACCTCGAAGGTGTCCTGGGAGAGCTGTTTGACGGTGGCGGGCGTTCCATCCACCCACCAGGTGGCATATGGCTTGTTTGCCAACGAGGCATCAGTGTGAATCTGCGTGCCATCCGCTGAGACCGCGAGGATGGCGACGGTATGTTTCTCGACCAGGCGATCGATGGGCTCCCGCATGGCTGGTTTGATAGCCTTGAAGATGCGGTGGTGGTGTTGCTGTAGTCGAGCTTGGTTGCATTTCGACTTCTGGCGCAAATTCCAGCTTTCAAAGCTCCGGAAGTTGTAGCGGAAGTCGTTGTAGATGTTGTGCATGAGGTCGAGGGATGGAGCATAGAGTGGCAAGTGAGGTGGGCTGCCTTGGAACTGGTGCTTCCTAGTGGGCCACCATTCGCAGAAAGTGGGCTGAAAGCCCGGTGCGTGTAGTATCGCATGCCAGAGCTCGG